AAAAAAAAAAAAAAAAAAAAAAGAATATGGTGTTAGGCAAGAAAAATAATCACGCTGCATGCCGGCGGCAACCCAGGAAGTTCAACTTACACATGTGAGGGCAGAAAGGGTTAAAATCAAAGAGCCAGGCTGGTCTTGAACTGCTGGGTTCAAGCTGATTCTCCAGCCTCAGCATCCCAAAGTGCTGGGATTATACAGGTATGAGCCGCACCCCCAGTCTCAAAATGTGAATTCTAACAATGAAATATATATCCAAATTTCCTTTAGGTTTAGCTAAAGTGACTATGGTATCTAATTACAATGTTCTTTAACTTTTTAGATTTTGGATTAACTCTGAATGATTATTTTTAGCAATTATTTTTGGCAAGAGATTCACTTTTGGTGAATCTCTTACAAGCTAATCATTGTAGGAGTTGTAGGTAGTTAACCCTGGCTCTACGGGCAATGTAAATCAATGCCAGTAAGTTTTCTCCTAGTCACTCAGCCAATTCTAAAGTTGCTAGAGTACAGTGGGACCCTCAGGAGCACAACAGGTGCTACTGTTTCAATAACTATACTGACAAAGGAATTTTTAAATATACTAGTTAATTTGACATCAAACAAAAAAATACACTGGCTACATTAATGCCAAGATAATGAATTGCAATTACATCAATTACATTTTGAATTTTTAGTAGTTTTCGGAGTAGAAGAAAAAGAAAGAAATCACCTGTAGTCACACAAGTGCTCTGAATTATGCACATATTCTTATGAAAAATGCCAAATTACCACAACCTAAAAATTTTTCTTTATCTACAGTAAGAAAAATTCACCAATAGTATACAGTTTTAGGACCTACATGTTGAAATATGTTCCTGGAAGGAATCCGCTTAAACTTATTTTTACTATGTCAAGAATAAAGATGGATTTGTAACTGTGCAAACACGGGAGGCTCCTGGGTAATGTCCCCTTTGTTAAACATACTTTAACATTTTATCTAACTCTAAAGTGGAAAGTTAAAAAAATGATCAATCTGTGGCTATTTTTAAACCCAGGAATCAATTAAAAATTTTAGATGCTAACAAATAGGGAAAGCACCAAAAAGGATGTAAGTCAGGGGAGAAGCAAAGCACCTAGCCTGGTGTGGTTTAAAGATAAGGTAACCTTTCCAGTATTTTCAATGTATCTTTTCAAATAAAAATATAAATAATCTGAAAGCATAGATAAATTCAGTTATAGTATACATAATCCAATCACTAAAAACAAAACAAAGACACCAAGATTCTCAGAGCTTCTAGCTGGGCTTCTTCCACTACAGTAGTATCAAAACTCTTCTCTTAAAGATACTCAATAATGGTCAGGCCAGTGGTTCATTCCTGTAATCTCAGTACTTTGGGAGGCCAACACTGAAGGTTCGCTTGAGCCCGGGAGTTTGACAGCACTCCGGGCAACATAAAGACCTCATCTCCATTTTGAAAAAAAAAAACAACTCAATAACTTTTCCAAATACCAAACTGAACACCCTCTTTCTATAGTGCTATCTCTCCTCCATCTCTGCAGCTTGCAACACTGACTACAAACTCCTTTGACTCCTTCCAGTAACTATCCAAGATCTTATCCTTACATTTCTCTCTCATCTCTGCAATAAGGTTAAAAAAAAAAAATCATGTATTTCACATGAGATAGTGTATAAATATCCCTCAAATGCAACACCTTATAAATTGACAAGAAAAACTGTATGACCTAGTAGAAAACTGGCAAAGAATTTAAATAGGCATTTCATAGAAGAAATCCAAATGGCCAATAAGTATGTTCTAACCCTGCTTAATAGTTAGGAAGACGCAAATTGAAAATTATACATTGAGATGTCATTTCTCATCCATCAGCTAGGCCAAAATTAAAAAGCATTATAATGTCTAATACCTGTATGTTTGCAGGAAGTGGGTACTCTCATATATTGCTGGTAGAAGTGTGAATTGCTAATCTAAGTATGAGCTAATACAACTTTTTCTGGAAAGTAGTATGGTAGTAGCTATTAAAATAAAGAATACATACACTCTTGAAAACAGATGTCTCTTTTTCACATTCTAGCCACTGAGGGGGAAAAAACTAATGTATATATAATACATATACACACACATGCATGCATGTGCACAAACACACATATATATGGACATAATATTCAATGTACCACGTTGTTTTGGTAGTGGCAAAAATTAGAAGCAATCTGAGTCCATTAATAAAGGAGTGATTGAAAATTTATGGTATAGCCATACCATGGAATCCTCTTCAGATATTAATAAACACTTAGATTTATATCAGTAGACCAAGAGGTGTTCATGAAGTATTGTTAAGTGCAAAATAAAGATAAGGAGTAGTATGTGAAGTATGATGCATTACTTTTGTTTAAACAAAACAAAACTTCAAACACCTCTTACAAGTTTCTGCTTCTATACAGAGAAAAGCATGGAAGGATACACTCCAGGCTCTTATTTGGCTTCCACGATAAGGGTTCTTATAGGGAGAGGGAAAGTACTTCATGAACTCCATTAAATTATAGTCATAATTTTATAACATGGGTCTTTTGCGGGGAAAATTGAGCCATAGCTTTCAACAAATTCTCAAAGGGATCAATGAATCAAAAAAGATTTGGGCGGCAGGTGCAGTGGCTCACACTTGTAATCCCAGCACTTTGGAAGGCAGAGGTGGGATCACCACCTGAGGCCAGAAGTTCAAGACCAGCCTGGGCAACATGGTGAGACTCCATCTCCACAAAAAAATTTTAAAATTAGCTGGGCGTGGTAGTGCACACTTGTAGTCTCGGCTAAATGGGAGCCTGAAGCAGGAGGATTACTTGAGCTCAGGAGATGGAGGCTGCAATGAGCCATGTTCATACCACTGCACTGCAGCCTGGGTGACAGAGCAAGATTCTGTCTCAAAAAAAAAAAAAAAAAAAAGAAAAGAAAACTATGAATCACTGTGCTATATTGCTTCTCTCAACAGAACAGCCTGGGCAACACAGAGAGATCCCATCACCACAAAAAAATTTTAAAACTCAGCCAGGCATGGTGGCATGCGCCCATAGTCCCAGCTGCTCGGGAGGGTAAGATGTAAGGATCGCTTGAGCCCGGGAGGTAAATGTTGCAGTAGGTTGTGATTGCACCACTGCACTCCAACCTTGGGGACAGAGCGAGACCTTATCTCAAAAAAAGAAACTCATCCTTGTGTTAACTACCAATAACTAATTCAACAAGGATTACCCATGGCTGCTAAAACCAAGGACGGAAAAGTAATGGAAAAACAGGGTAGACACAGTCTCAAATTATCACCCCATAGTATTCTTAGTAATTACAAACTGGATGAGGTGCCTCTGCAAGAGAGATGTGGGAATCACCATCTTAACCAAGTGATCAAACTTAGGTGATGGCATCATTATTGCACACCTGCCTTTATATCTGTTGATGTGATACAATATAAGATGTGCCCATCACCTATGGAGTATTCTTGCTAAAAATGCTTAATCTGAGTCTCATCATGGGGAAAAACAAAAATCAGAAAAATACAAAATGTGGAAGAGACATTCCAGCCTAGGCTCTTCAAAAAAAAAAAAAAAA